CATCTCCTCTGAATTATCCCAATGATCTCAAAAATAACTGTGCTAAGGCACGGAATTGAGATGAATGTTTATATTCCTGGTTTTGAACCAAGAGAGCCTCCATGATAATCTTCTATAAAACCTAATGATTTAGGAAGACTAATCCATACTAGCATACAAAATCAAATGAGGTAAATTCTCAGTTTGAGGAAGATGCAAATTGCAGAGAAGATGAGTATTTTATTTTTACCAAACCAGCAATTTGGAGATACTTTATTAAAGGGAAGTAGAAACAATGTCTTAAAGACTGAATGGCTCAGTGACCTGAGTGGCTCAGTCAGTTGAGTGTCCGACTTTGGCTCAGGTCATGATCTCATGGCTCGTGGGTTTGAGCGCTGCTTCAGGCCTGGAGCTTGCTTTGGATTCTGTGTCTCCCTCTCTCTTTGCCCCTCCTCCACTCGTGCTCTCTCTCTTAAAAATAAACATTTAAATAAATACATAAATAAGAGGATACTGTATTTCACAGCCAAACACTTAAGAGCAGTTAAAGGGGAAAAGGCATTACAGACCTAAAAAGTTTTTTGTGTGTGTGGTATATTTAGCGAAGCAAAGGAAAAAAAAAATCAAATAAATAGGGGAAGAGGGGTGTACCCAACTTGAGATCTAAATTTTCTCCTGTCAACCTCTTTAAGAGAAAAGAACGGGAGGAAAATTTGGAACCAATTTGAGATTCTCTTTGCATTTGATGCTATATTACATTATAGTGTAAATGTATATTCATTAGTTATCTCCAAATTCTCGTAAACTTTATCCCCCAGAAATAATTTAAAAAATTTTTTACGATGTAATTAGATGACTTTTCATGACCGACTGCTGTGGTAACTTTTTTACTTCATTTAAATGGTGTCCCTGCTTTCTAGGTGCTTCCTAGGTGCTTTCTAGGTCTGCAGCCTTCACTGGGACATATCTGACTAGTTCTGTTCTGTGCATACAGATTAAATCTCTGAACCTAAACAACTATCTTGCACGTATAAACCACTGTATCAAAGGAAGAACATAGCTGATTTAGAAAGAATAAAATACCAAAACAAAAAGAAAAGAATCCTCTATATGTACTTCAGGATAAAATTCAGTGACTGTCTCAGCTAAATCTCTAACAAACTATGAAGTATGGAATTACTTATAAACATGCATTATCTTTCAGTGTGCTTACCACTTACCACAAATATCAGGTACTTTAAGTTCTAGAGCAAGTAAAGAAATAGTCAGGAAGTAATAATAACTGGTAATACTATATGTCCTGCTACTTAACACACTCATTTTCCTATACATTTGTGAGAAAGAATATTCTATTTGTAAATTACTTCAGGGTACATGTGTCTGAAAAGAAAATCTGAATTGAGGCAACATTCATAAAAGCACATAGAAAAAAATTCTCAAGAAGAACAGACTTTATTTTTAACATAAATGTTCTATTTTCTTGTGAGGCAGCAATAAGTGTTCAGATACAGGGAATACATAAGTACATAATAACAATATTTATCACCATTGGAAATGCTGTTTATTGGGAGATTTTTGTTAGAAAAACAAAATTTTAAAAAATTGCATTTTAAAAAGATTTACACAGCTTAAAACAGATGAAAGATACAGACTTTAAAAAAACATAAATTATATTCAACAGGATTTTTTAAACAAAGTATTGTTCAGGGCTGCTCTACTTATTGTTAATTTAAGCAGAGTTAAACTTTAAAGTGCGAAGTATTCTTAGCTTTTTAAATGCAAATTCAGCACTTCCACTGGTCTGATTTTGAGACATCAAAATTCCAAGCATTAAGGAATGAATCTTAAGTTTAGAACAGTGAACTAAATTCAGTAATGTCAATTTTTCTTTTATTTCCTTTAACAAAAGAAAATCTTGACAACCCAGTCCTAATCTTGGACATACAGAAGGCTGTAAGTTCTGCCACTTTTTTAAAATATCTTTTCCAGTAAAAGCCAACCATTTAAAAGAAAAAAATGGGGGGGGGGGGGGAGAGCCTTTCTTGTTGCCAGTTATTCCACAGTTAGCAATAACACGTTCCAAAAGGCTGATCTGGCCTCTCATAAGTGTAAGAAGTATTTTAAACAAAATGAAGATTCTAGTTAAGAAATAATTTTGGCATCCATGCTCACCATATTAACCAGAGACAAAACAGATATTTTAAAAATATAATTGCTAACAAAAGCCACGACAAGTAGTAAGACTTAGTCATGATCAGAAACAATAAATTTTATGTTTTTATCATCACAAGGAAAAAAATCAAGAGTAAAAAATAACTTAAGACAAAGTAAATAACCAGAGAATACTTTTACGGAAATATATATGCTATTTCTTTTACTGCAATGGAAGTAAATTTATTTAAAACTTAAAAAAATTTAAATTATATTCCCACTGAAGCTATTCTAACTTATCTTCTGTATAGTTTTCTACAGAAACACAAGATAATCATGGAATGTAATTTTAGAAAATATTCTATTGGGAGTAGGTCCATTTAAAAAAAATCAGCCATCTGAACTAAGGGTTAAGCAAGAGCTGAATGGGACCTATGGTTAATATTTTTAAAGACTGCAATAAAGCTCATATGCTTAAAAATTAGCCCTTTGGCACTGGCAGTTGAGTTGTCTGTACCTTGTACCTTTTTTATTCTTTCAAACCTCAGGCTCTATTTCTCCCAAACCCAAGGGGTATGTTTGGTTACTATACAATGCATTTACCTGCAAATTCACATTCTCCTTACAACCAAACATTAAAAGTTCTACTTATAAGACTCTGTAACTAATAACTCTTAAACCTGTTCTCCCATTCTGGTTTTAAATTACTTTAGATAAAGGATATATGAAACGCTATAGAAAGATGTCAATTATACAAACATGCACAACAAAGAGAAAGATTGTTTATAAAGTGGCATTTTAGTTGTAAAATGCCCTTGTGATTTATAGGAATGGACAGAAGTAAGTGTAAAGTAAGGAAAAGAACACTGATTTAATGGAATTCAAGTAATCTACAAACTGAGGATTTTTTTAAAAACTTGTTTTTAACTTCTTCCTCTTACCATTCATACCAACTCACCTGAGGAGTTTCAGCTTTTCTTCTGTACTTTTGATAGAGCAGTTTTCAGTGGTGAAATGGTTAAGTCAAAAGACATAACATATAAGGCAAAGAATCAAGGTTCTCAAAAAAACCAACCAACCAGAAAATACAGACCCTGAATAACTGAGTTTTACTAATTTAGAAGCCACAAAGCACTAATTCCAAGCAAATTAGTTTTGTATGGAGAAGGTACCAAAATTTATCAGTGTTACCAAGTGAAACTGGACAGACTTATTCAAATGTTTGAATTTATCTAATCTGTATAAATACATCGCCATTTTAAACTTCACAGGGCATAATTTTAAATACTCAGATGTTTTAAAGGTGCATGAGTATAAGAAGTCCTTTCAGATTTATTGCTACCACTAAGTTTTCTTTGATGGTACATGTCTGAACAAATTGACGTATTAACCCTCTAAACTGTATTCCTTTTACAAGTATTAAAATTTTTTTCTCCCTATATGTATAGGAATATTAAATTATTGCATCATAGGTAGTATATGAAGGTCTTAGAAGGATGCTTTTTATCAACAGTGTTTGCTGGAACTCATTTTTAAAAAGAGCTGCTCCTTAATTTCACTACCACATACACAAACATGAAATAGTGTTGTCATGTGATATTGGCAGTGATTAAGATGAGCCTAAATCCAAAACTGTATGGATTTTTCAAAGAATCCTGTTGTTTATATGCTCCAAAGCTCTCTTTGCCTGTCTTCCGCACTGTGTGGAATGCTGGAGAGAAAACTAGCAAAACCTGTAAGCAACATATCTCAGTGCCAACCACCATAAAGAAAATGTCAGTCACAAGATTCTGTGACTACGGATTGCTATTCAATGGATTACACTCCTGGCAAACTACTAATCCTGACCAAATCCACGAGACAACAACATCACAAAAGCAAAGGAGGAAATCCATGCACAGCCATTTTAGGACCTCTTGGAACTATGATACAGTGATGATAAAGGGAGAGCATGTGATAAAATATTTTGCAGAAAACCAAAGGGGTTCCTTACTCCTAGCTAGCAATCAACACTGGGTAGTTTCCTTCTGGCTCACTGACTTTTAAACCAAGTTCCAACAATGGGTGAGAAAGTATTAAAGCACTTGTCTCCAGACTATAATTTTTCTGACCACATGGTGAAATGTGTACAGGAGTAGTGAAGAAAACAACAGTTTTACAAGTATTTCACCCAAAGCACAAACTTCTGACATCCAAAAACATAAATCACATAATGTACTATTATTTAGTATTGCTTTTTATCTCTGGTTATATATTTGTTCAATGCATTTACCTATCAATTCTTGTTTGGGAGAAGAACATAGTCATGAGATTAAGATTGCTGGGAAAATGTCAACAATCCCTTTGGTCCCAAAGCTGAAAACAGCTGAGAAAAGCACACATCTAGAAAGGGAAACAAGAAACAAGAGGCCACCAAAGAATCTTTGAACATCCTGTCTGCTACGTTTCAGAAAATGTAACATTGGTATTATAAAATAGTCATTTTCATATAAAAGATGGTTCTTGCAGCATCATTCACGTCTCCCTTCAGGAATTATGTTTGCAGGGATCAATTTTTTGTTTTTGTTTTTAAAGAAGTTTAATTTGAAAACAAAAAACAATGTGATATTGGCCCTCCAAAAGTAAAGAATGAGACCTTTTTTGTTTCAATCAGTGCTTTCAGAAAAAGCAGGCTAAGCAACGAGGGCTGGCCTTCATGAGTGAGCAAAGCCATCAGAGGGCGCTGCTTTCTTCCAGAAGTCATACTGTGACACATCACCATGGGAAGTGGGAGCACATCACAGCCGACTGGGAGTGCGCGATGCCATCACAATGAAATGATCTGAGGAGGTTCTCAGTTGCCCAGAAAAATGGCCACACAGTCTTGTGACCTATCCTTCAGCTTCTTCAATTGGCTCTGGTGGTGGAAGTAGAGAGGCCGATGGCATGACTGTACTTGTTCCTCGAGAGACCCGGTCTTGCTCTGTGTTTGTAGACAGGGAGGCCACAGCAATAGGCTGCAGCAGAGTGGTTGTCATACCAGTGGTAACTGTCAGACTGTGCCCAGAGCCCTTGAGAGTAAGATCTGGTGTGGGAAGGAGTGGCTTGAGGATGCTGACGAGGCAGAAGGCAGAACCACTTTTAGGAATGAAATTCACCTTGTTTTTGTCAGGACAGTAAAAGGCTGGGATTTCGTGAAGCTGCTTTGGCCTAGGCATAGAACAGACAACCCAGTAATTTTAAGTCACAGAACACTGGAAGTAATTTTTTTTTTTTCTAAACAGATAACTTATAGATAATGAAAGGAATATAAAACTCAAGTTATGTCAAAAGCTCCAAATGTTATGGGCCAAAGTGGAATTAGACACCTAATTCAAAATAAGTATCTTAGAATGCCAGAAGTACATCATTCATCTCTGCTGCTTTCAGTTCCCTGGAGAGCCCCCTGCAGCATTCAGGTGACTCAGGCTGACAACCAACTGTATCTCAATGAAGATTTAAGACAGCCATTATGAATAAAGAATTTCCTAAAGCAAAAGAAATTCTAGATGTTAAAAAACAAAAATATGTTCCACTACATTTTTTCCAAAACCTGTACTATTTTGAAGGGAGAAAGCAAGTAAATTAACGACATACAATGTCCATCTTTTGCTAAATTCCACCCCTGTGTGACTCAACTTCAGTGGGCATGAGTTTTCAAGTGTGCTTAAAAATCTCTTCGGAACAATTTTTTTAGTTAACCATGAGGGTTTTCTGAGAAACATAATGGAAATATAAAATCAAAATCAAATTATTCATTGTCCCTTCCTGTCCCCAGGGGCTCCTGAAAACTCACCCAAATGGTTGGAAAAAGATACTAAGTATTACTGATATTTTGTGAAAATAAAGATATTAAAAAATTCAACTGTTAAAGTAACATGGAAATGCCACAAAATTAAAAAGAAATTGGGGCTCCTGGGTGGCTCAGTCAGTTAAGTGTCCAACTTCAGCTCAGGTCACAATCTCACGGTCCGTGAGTTCGAGCCCTGCGTCGGGCTCTGGGCTGATGGCTCAGAGCCTGGAGCCTGTTTCAGATTCTGTGTCTCCCTCTCTCTCTGCCCCTCCCCCATTCATGCTCTGTCTCTCTCTGTCTCAAAAATAAATAAAACGTTAAAAAAAAATTTTTTTTTTAAAAATTAAAAAGAAATAACGGTGGGAGAACCTAAATATATCAAGATTCAGATGGAACAACGTAATATGATCATATGATGAAAGTACGATTCTCATCTCTCCTAATGAAATTTAAAAAATTAAAATTTAAGTGCGCCAAGTCTGCACCAGATTCTGGGGATCCAAAAATGAAACCATCTACAAGGAGACAGACTAAATATGTAGTTCGTGGGGGGAGGGAGATGCTGGGAATAGGACTGTATCTCAACATAATTAATCTCATTTGTAATCTTACATGTTTTATGCATTTAAAAACATTATCAGGGGCACCTGGGTGGCTCAGTCAGTTGGGAGTCTGACTCTTGGTTTTGGTTCAGGTCATGATCTCACAGTTTGGGAGTTCAAGCCCTACATCAGGCTCTGCAATGACAGCGTGGATTCTCTTTCTCCCTCTCTCTCTCTGCCCCTACCCTGACTGCGCGCTCTCTCTCAAAATAAATAAACTTAAAACAAAAAACAAAAAACAAATGGGGCGCCTGGGTGGCTGTTGATTGAGCATCCGACTTCGGCTCGGGTCATGATCTCACACTCTGTGAGTTCGAGCCCTGCATCAGGTTCTGTGCTGACAGCTCAGAGCCTGGAGCTGCTTCAGATTCTGTGTCTCCCCCTCTCTCTGCCTCTCCCCTGCTCATGCTCTGTCTCTGTCTCAAAAATAAAAATAAAAACATTTTTTAAAAATTAAAAAAAACAAATAATAAAAACATTATTCAGAGAAGTTACAAATTACTTCAAAGCATCCCTAATCTTTGCCAGACTGCCAAAGGTGTTCACAGTACAAAAAAGCTCAAGAAGTCCTGTAAGAGGTCTGACAAGATAAAAATGACTTGTAAAGGGGTTTAAAGGTAGCACAAGGGAGTGGATAACCTGTGGCAGAGGAAGAGGGAGAATTTTGTAGGAAGAAGGCTTACAAGGGAAGTAACATCTGAGCTGGGTCTTAAAAAATTAATAAGCAACAGTCCTGGGGAATGTGCCAAAAAAAAAAAAAAAAAGGAAAAGAAAAACCTCCAAGCAGACAATGCTTTTGATAGGCAGATTTTATTAATAGTGAATACTACCCAAGGACAGCTTTGATAAATACAATAATTTAAGAACAAAGAAATAATTTAATTGATGTTTTACTTGTGCAGTCTTCTTTCTTATATACAATGGAAACATCAAGTAATTTTAGGACCACAAGTGTATCTGGGTAGATGAGAGGTAAGAAGAGCACACACTGCCCTATTTTTACTATGTGAGAGTATGGTTTTCAATTCCTTAAAGAAGATAGGAAGCTGAGGTTAGATTTCTATTATTAAATTATGCTTGAATTTTCTTTTGAAGGTGGAAGCACCAACTTCCCCCACCGAACAAAAAAAAACACACAAAAAAACAAAACACCTTCCTTTGTCCCCTCTTCCAGCCGCCACCCCAACCTACCAAGAGGAATCACTCCTGACCTCTAACATTTTTCTAGGAGCTTAATTATTAACCAAGAAACAGATTATCCACTCCTGGCACACATGACCTATACCTATGCTAATAGAAGCTGCAAGTACTAATACAACTTCAAAGCTTCAACTTAGTAACTATAAAAACAAAAAAACAAAAAAATCTCAGAACTAATTTAAAATTTTTATTTTTCCTTAAGGATTATTCCAAAAAAATTGTGTCTCAAAATAGATATAACTGTTTACAAGCTGACTTTCTGAGAAACTGATGGGATAGGCTGGATAATAATTATAGATATTCTTATACTGATGCAAGGAATTCTTTCCTATCTGTTTTAAAAGCCTTATGTAATTTTTTTTTAATGCAGGAATTAATTATCAGCAAAGAAAATGCTGGGTCCGAGTTACTTATAATTGGAAGAAGGGAGAGAGGGAGGATCATGTTATATTTTTTAAAATACTTCTATACCACAAAAAGGCCAAAATACTTAGGAGTCTAAGGTAACTAAGGCCAAAGAATTCATTAGTTTGGCAGAAGAAACATATTAGACTTCCTTTAAAAAAGGAAAAAGTGCAGACGACATGGCTATGGTACGTGCTATAACACAAAGAATATAGAGACCGAAAGAAATACAAAATCTGGTATAAATTCTGGTCTAAATACAACCACCTATTTGCATTCAGGTAAATAAACATACATTTCTAGAAACCAGAGATCAAGCCTCACCCCACTCCAATCTCCAGTTCCTATCAGAGTTACTTCCTTCAAACCAAGAGTTAAAGAGGAGTATTCCTCAAACAATGATTAAATAAACTCAAAACTTTTTTTTTTTTTAAATTTTTTTTTTTTTCAACGTTTATTTATTTTTGGGACAGAGAGAGACAGAGCATGAACGGGGGAGGGGCAGAGAGAGAGGGAGACACAGAATCGGAAACAGGCTCCAGGCTCCGAGCCATCAGCCCAGAGCCTGACGCGGGGCTCGAACTCACAGACCGCGAGATCGTGACCTGGCTGAAGTCGGACGCTTAACCGACTGCGCCACCCAGGCGCCCCTCAAAACTTTTAATTTGGACCAATAATCTATATTTGTTTGTTGCTAGTGTGCCCAGTGGATTTTGCTCTCATTTTGACAGAGGTAGTGCAAAAGAGATGAATTTTTTTAGATTTTGAGTAATTTGTTTTATTGATAAAAAAGTTAAAATTACCTCTAAGAAATCCACTCTTGGGTTACTGCTATTAATTTTTGTTTTGGTACATAATGAAAATGCTTAAAAATGCTAGACATCCTTTGTATCAGTATAATTTGTAACAAACTATGTACACTATAAAAAGAGCAAGTTTACCCTTCTTTTTTTAAAATTTTTTTTTTTAACATTTATTTATTTTTCAGAGACAAAGAAGAGACAGCGTGAGCAGGGGAGGGGCAGAGAAAGAGGGAGACACAGAATCCGAAGCAGGCTCCAGGTTCCAAGCTGTCAGCATAGAGCCCAACGCAGGGCCTGAACCCACAAACTATGAGATCATGACCTGAGCTGAAGTCGGACGATTAACCGACTGAGCCACCCAGGTGTCCCGCAAGTTTACCTTCTAATAACAGATGCATGTGCCATAAAACATGTAACATGTCAGGGTTTATCTTCTATTTCTTTGATCCATCTATCTATCCATATACGCACACATACTCTTCCCTCCCTGTAGACACAAATAATGTAGCAGTATATACATAACTCAGACATTAAGTCCTGAGAAAACTTCCAAATCCAAGAGATTAAGGCAGATACCACAGGACACCAACCTACATAACAAATATTCACACAAAGTCATTTATTACAGAAATTCAAACTACTTTTGAGCCAACCAACAATTTCTCTGCATTTGGGCAAATCTCAATGAGTAAATCAAAGAGCTCAACTCCAAAAATGTCCACTTAGACCATTTGATTTTTACTTAAAAAATTAAAAAAAAAAAAAAATGGGATCATTGTATTAAGTTTATCTTGAGAGAGAGAAAGTGCATGTGCAAGTAGGGGAAGGGCAGAGAGAATCCCAAACAGGTTCTACCCTATTAGCTCAGAGCCTGATGCAGAGCTTGAATTCATGAATTATGAGATCATGACCTGAGCCAAAACAAAGATTCAGAGGTTTAACTAATTGAGCCACCCAGGCGGCCCTAGAATGATTCCCTCCCTCCCTCCCTCCTTCCTTTCCTTTCTCTTTCTTCCTTCATTTTTTTTCTTTCTTCCTTCATTTCTCTCTCTCTCTTTCTTTCTTTCATGTTTATTTTTGAGACAGAGAGAGTGTGAGTGGGGAAGGGGCATCAAAAGAGTGTCAGTGCAGAGTCCAACGTGGGGCTCAAACTGATGCACCATGAGATTGTGACCTGAGCCGAAATCGAAAGTCAGACATTTAACGAACTGAGTCACCCAGGCATCCCTTAAGAACTCTCATGGGAAAGTCTAAGCCAGCATCTGCAAATTGGGCATAAAAAATATGAGGTATTTGTCAGAGATGTATAGTCCAGGTCCTATCTCCACATTTATGTATTAGGCCTAGGATGGGGCCTGGGAATCTGCAGTTTCAACTACTACTCCAGACGATTATGATTCAGGAAGTCCATGAAACAGATCTGGAGAATTCTACTTAAATTTTCAATTTGCTACAGTCAAGCTTTTAGAATGACAGTGACATAGCAGTTGCTAAAACAGAGTTTTCAATTACTGTCACAAAAGCAGATAGGAGACTGAGAGCTGGGATTTCCTAGCATAGAAATTAAGGGGATTCAAAAACAATGCTCTTTGTGTGGCAAAATTATTCAGAATTTAGAATAAAGGAAGCAGTGACAGGAGAAGCATACAGAGGAACAAAAGGATTCCATATTCCAAAATAATTCCAAGATGTTCATAATGGGGGAAAAAGATAAATTACATTGAGTCAGACAAGGTTGGACAATCTTCACACTGTGTTCCAGGTTTCATAAGTGAGAAAAAGCCAGAAGGCTGACTCTTATACATGCAGCCATAGTGAGACTGGAAGGTGAGGGCTAAGAACTACCAGCACATCCCCAAATAATGTTCATCACCTAATTTGCTATCTCACACACACCAACCATCCTATAGCCATCACTCACAAAGCAAGAAGCCATGAAAATATGAAGGCTACAATACCTTTTGAGACTCTGAGTCTAAAATTGCAGCGCTTGACTAAAGTACCAGCCAACCGAAATAGAAGAGATCACATACCAATAGTACTAGATACTGCTTAAAATCCTGCCTGCTTCTTATGTTAGCTTTATCACAGGAACAGGAGTCTGTTACTATAATAGTAACAGAATTCTGTTTCCTATACTGGCAGACAAAATATTTCTAATAATTTTTAAAGAATTAGAGACCAAAAGTACATAAAAACTGAAGGGAATTCAACCCTTAAAAGAAGGAAGACATACTAGGTGAGAGCCATGGTCCACCTTGAATAAATATACCGCTAAATTCAATGTGTGATGTTGACTGTATACAGGTTCAAAAGTAACAGCCACAGATGACACACTGGAGACAACAGAGGAAATGTGAAAAACAACTGGGTATCAGTTGATATTAAAGCATTACTGTTAATTTCGTTTGATGTGATAATGGTACTGTAGTTATATAGGAGTACTATGGTTACTTTTAGGAAACAATATTAAATTGTACTTAAGTGTAATGATGTCTGCAACTTACTTCCAAACACTTTAGCAAAAACTACCACCACCACACACAAAGCACATATAACATAATGTTAACTAGAGTCTACGCTGTGGATACATGGGTGATCACTGTACTATTCTTCAACTTATTTGAAAATTCTCATATGGACTCTTAAAAACTGAGAACAAACTGAGGGTTGATGGGGGGTGGGAGGGAGGGGAGGGTGGGTGATGGGTACTGAGGAGGGCACCTTTTGGGATGAGCACTGGGTGTTGTATGGAAACCAATTTGACAATAAATTTCATATATTGAAAGAAAAAAAAAGAAAATTCTCACATGAAAAGTTATTTGAGGGGTACTTACGAGCATTCCTCAAAGACTTTGACCCTTTCACAGCCCTCAGGAGGCTCCCTTTTGAACATATAACTGTTGTTAGGTTTTGGTGAAGTTGCATATTTGGGCAAAGGAGAGTTGTTCCCATTCTCTGCAAAAAATGGCACGCTGGATTACTAACAAACACTACCACATAAATGCAGTCATACTAAATTGAATTGTTCATGACATTCCCCCACACCATGAACTACTTGAGGGTAGGAACAGTGTTTTATCATCAACATCATCCCCCAAGATCTAATACAATACCAGGTAAAGAGGAGATAATTAAATGTTTGTTAAATCCATAAAACAAAAAATTTTTCTTTTCCACTTACAAGTACTACAGCTTAATCCTGTATCACTTAATCCACGGCACTGAATACTGATCTATCTTGCCCCCTTATTTCTTATACACCCAGCAGAGACTCATATGCCATTTCCTTGCTTCCCAGTACATGCAACTGAGGTGGCTCTTCACTGGTTGCCTATCACTCACTCTCATGCTCCTCTGGTTACAATCTCTGCTCCACTTAGTTAGGAGCCATCTGTGCACTATACACCAAAGACTTCCTCGGGCCTATGAACGTCTCCATACCTAAGAGGTCCATCTCTGTTCATGTGCCAAAACTTCTTTCAAAGTCTAGCTCAAAGTTTTGAAATCCTTTCAAATTAACCTCATCAAAGTGAATGCTTCTTTACTCTGGTATTCCTGTTCAATGTTGATGTCCTCAGTTTATACTTTAAAAATTCTTGATATGTTACCTAAGTGTTCTAAAACTTTCAGTTTGTGTCAACTAAGCTATAAATTTTTTGCTGGCAGTAGCACTGTGGTTCTATTTTCTTATAAAAGAAATTTCTTAAAAAAAAAAAACTTTGTCTTAAAGTCAAATATAGCATTACACAAAATCCATGAGGTCCCTACTACTTATTACTGAAGTAAAAGTAGAAAGTATGAGCCCTGAGTACCAGGAGCCATGCTAAATGGTTTACACTCACCACTCCTTTTAATTCTAAAAGTACAGATAGTAGTTAAAATGCAGATTCCTGATAAGAAACACACGGCCCAACCAAAAGATTTAATTCAGTTTCAGATTTAGATGCACACTGGAGTCACCTGGGAGCATCAAACACTCTCAGTACCTGTATTCTACACCCCCAGGGGTTGTAATTTAATTGCTCCAGGGTGTTTGCCTAGAATAACTATATATTACTTAACCTAGAAGCTGGCAAAATGGGTCCAAATAGTAACATTTACAATTGCTTATGGCTTTAATTGACTTCTTTGGGAAATCTTATGTTCTTTGCACTTGTTACAGTCTCAATAATTTAGGGAATTGATAGTAATAGCCAACTGTAACATTTTAGGAACATTCAACACACTGTGATTAATAGCTTCTAAATAAATGACTGCTGAACTGAGCTGCAGAATTTACAAATATATTATTGCTCTCAAGTACACACAGTAACTTGGGTTAGGCTAACAAAATATTGCCCTGATAGAGACAGAAGAAAGGTCATAGTTGTTTTAAAAGGTAAGAACATTAGAAATTAATATTCAAATAGCTTATGTCTCCAAGTTATTTTTAAGTTGCACAAGTAGTTCAATACTATAAGGAAGCCCTCCAACCTTTTACTGTAGGCTTGCCTTCAATACTCATTTTGCATTGACATAAATCAGCCTAATTCTTGTTTGAAATTTCACAAAATGAGATTCTTAAAAAAAACAAACACTAATTTGAAGGTTTCAAGTTCAATTAAAAATAGTAAGGTAGTAAAAACAAGACAACTAAGGTGAGAGAAAACAAAGTGCTTTTTCAGGACCAATGTTCATTTATACCAAAAAGAATGTTTCTCAGTAATAAGAGACTTGAATTAACAAGTAGAGAAAAGGAAAAAAAAAAAAAAGGTACAAAAATAAATGCCCATACACCCACCCAACAAGACCATCTCTTGAGCACCACGGTAAAACCTACTGTTGTATACTTTAATTTTTAAAAATCTATGTTATGAACGTATGTCAAAGTAATTACCTTAGTAGCTTTAAGTGTGTGTGTTCTACTAGAAAATGAATAGAATGAATGATAAAATAGCTGGTGTTCATTTATCATCTGGCAACAAATTCCTCCTTCATTGTACCTTTATCCCTGGGATCAACAAGCAGGTCATCAGCTGAACAAGGGCTCTCTTCGCTACCTTCATTTGAGATGGTGAGGAAGGATGTGGGGGACACAGACTGAGAGCGGCTGCTGTTGTTGCTTCCCCTGTCTGCCCCACCAGGGGTCTGCGTGTCGATGCTGCGTGTGCTGCTGCTTCTCTGTACGAGGGGGGGAGGTGCACGATGGCCATCTGGAATATCTTGTGGCTGTTATAAAAATTTTTAAACATACATATATTTATCACTGATTTTGAAACTCACCAGAAATGCACCCAATATCAACCTTCCCCTATTGTTCCAGATCACTCACAGATCAGAAATGCCCTACTAGGTCTAGCAGGAAAAACACCTTTGTGCTGCTCCATTAGTGACATCCCTATCTAATATGACTGCCCTACTAAACACTGAGCAGCATATGCAAAGACTCTGTATTCGCAGGGTTTGGTATATGACAGATGGCCAGTGCTTGATGAATGATAAACTGCAATGAATTAGTTATCTTGTAGTAAATATTTTTTAAATCGTGAAGAATTGCCATGGTAAATGAGGAGAAATCTAGGTGTAACACCAGGTTCTATATTAGAAGAAAAGTTTATCCATTGTGTGAACTAGTGATACTTGATGACAGGTCCTGTTACCTTCTCCCTCTGCCCACTTCCCCCTGAAAGAGTTTTTCCAAAGAAACCTTCCTAAATGAGGGAAAGATTAATGGTAGCAATGCTAATTATAGGGGAACATCAAGGAGAACATTAAAAGGAAAGCTTGCGTGGCTCACTTAGCAGGAAAACCAGCTCCCTGGTACACCTTTAGTTCATTTATCTTTATTATATCAGGGAGTTACTCCCATCATACAGTATGGACAAGAGGGTGTGGGGGGATTGTGTTTTCTCTAAGCTTAACCAACCTTTAATATCAGGGAGAAGATCTTAAGCATCAATAAAAATAATACTGCAAACCCCCCAATTCCTCTTTCACTGAAGAATGAAAGCTTAAATATACTCTGTAACATGCTTTTCAATATAAACAGGAAACTTTCTGTGTTTTATAGATGAATCATTCTTATGTCTTATGAGGATAATAGGTAAACAGAAGTGTACTTCATGATGATAAAGTCAACCAAACAATAACTCACAAACAATAAGGAACAGGTAGATTCATGCTTATAAAGTTTCTAAAGTCCTATCCCTCCCTCCCCAACAAGTTTTAATCTAAACTTATGCTACATGGAGTTGTAACAAATGAGAAGTGTATACCTATCTAGTGATCTTTAAAGATAAGCAAAAAGCAGTTTCTGTTCAAGGATCCAAATTTAAGTCATTATCAGTTGTCTCTATGAGATGCAAGGAAATTAAAACTTTTCATTAACTTGCCAAGGTCAAAATTTTTCAAAAGAGATAAATTTTCATTCTCTTTCAATGAGAGGAAAGAGACCTAAGTACATATGGAAAATGAAATTGTAATTTTTAAAATAAATCGAACAGTTAATGTGGAAGGACAATTTTAAGATACAAGATTACTTACTATAAGTTGTTCTTCCTTTTCCCCAGTCTCTTTAATTATTATTTCAATCTCCTGATTCAATCCTTCCACACTATTTCGGAACCGGGAACCTGTTGATTTGGTGATGGGAATTACTGGAATAAGTGCACTCTTTGGAACAGGAGCCTGAAGAAAAAGTGGTGGAGAAGGGAGAAAAGGGCTTTAATTCACCACCTTTCAATTCTTTAGTTTGAAGCATACTTTTAGTTGACATGAATAACTCTAAAATATATCAAAATTAAGTTTAGAGGCCTCACAAAAAGTTATGAGTAACCAAACATGCTCCTTGATAAACACAAAATATAATTTAAAGCCAAAATCCCAATCAAGGTAGAATTTCAGAAGTTAATTCACACCCATGAGGGACTGTAAAGAGAGGAGGTATAAAGGAAAATACTAAAAGAATGTCTATCTCAGAAATTTTTTTATGACTATAACTGAATTCAGATTTTGATGTTGTTTTTTATTTTTTGAGAGAGAGAAACACAGAGACACAGAGTGTGAATGGGGGAGGGGCAGAGAGACGGAGGCACAGAATCCAAAGCAGGCTCCAGGCTCTGAGCTGTCAGGGCAGAGCCTAACATGGGGCTCAAACTCACAAACTGTGAGATCATGACCTGAGCCGAAGATGCTTAACCGACTGAGCCACCCAGGTGCCCTCAGAGTTCAGATTTTAGACAACGTAAAAGTCCTCTAGTGCCACAATTACCTATACTCGAGGAAAGGAATTTTTATAAGGCAATTTATCAAAAAATATGTACACATTTTGGTTAGAAAAACAAAATCAGTGTCAAAGTCCACATATAATAGCAAGATTGTAGAAATAAGAATAATTTCCCTATGAAATTTATTTATACTTTCACTGTAATTATTTTATTACATTTTGTTAAGAAAATTATATAATTCATATTCTTCTTTTTCCACTGGCACATTATTGCTTTTGAAAAGAAATAACTGATTATATATAATTAAAGGATATTACACGGTTTCCTGACAAGATACTCAAAGTAAAATATGAATAAGAATTGTAAAGGTATCTGCTAAAGTTAACAGCAACAGTGTGCCAGAAGATCATCTTGTATATCGTCTTGCAGTCTAGTAAAGAAATGTGATTAACCCACCCTTCATTTAGAGGGGTTTCTTTGAAAAACCTCTCTTTCAGGGGAAGGTGGGCAAGGAGACAAAGGTAACAGGGCCTCCAATCATCACTAGTTTCCATTCAATGGATATATCCCTGTTCTGTGATATAGAACTCAGTGTTAAAGCTATATTTCTCCTCTTTTATTCCTGCTCACCTTTATAAGTAAGATTTTTTTAGAAATAAGCATAATACAGGGGTGCCTGGGTGGCTCAGTAGGTTAAGCGTCCAACTTCAGCTCAGGTCATGATCTCACGGTGAGTTCGAGCCCTGCGTCGGACTCTGGGCTGATGGCTCAGAGCCTGGAGGCTGCTTCCAATTCTGTGTCTCCCTCTCTCTCTGCCCCTCCCCCGTTCATGCTCTGTCTCTCTCTGTCTCAAAAATAAACGTTAAAAAAAAATTAAAAAAAAAAAAAAAGAAATAAGCATAATACATCAACAATCCTTGGAAAAGGCAAATTTCCATCCTTGGAAAATTTGTGAGAAAAAAGCTAAAGGGAAGTTTCAATCTGGAGTGGACAGAAAGAAAAGATGGAAGTGAAAAGGGAATAGATAATATGAGAAGCTTGAGGGTATGAGGAGAAGATTGGGAAACAGAGGAATTAAAGGGGGGAAATCAGAAGACATTATTAGAAGACAATGATATTTGAAAAAGAATGTGAAAGGACAAGAAATTATTTTAAGAATCAAATACATAATAGGGAAAACACAAAATAAAAATCGTAGCTACTGTTTACTGAGCATCCATCCAGTGTGGGCCAGATACCACATGCCCTCTCACTTTGTTTTCAAGACCATTCTCTGAGGTGGGCTGCAGTGGTTCCCCTGTTACATGTGAGAAAAGTAAGACTCTGGGGCCCAACAGTAAGCAATGAGGAAGTGCTGCCGCTTATCCATCTCCTTATTGCCACTTTTCAAAAGAGAGCCTAGAACAGACATGATGCTTATTCAACAAGGCTTGTACTATGAAGTGAATGTCTGTGTCCCCTTTCAAATTTCATACACTGAAGTTCTAACCCCAAAGTGGCTATTATTTGGAGAAAGGAGCTGTAAGGAAGTAAATTTTGAGGTTACATAAGGATGAGGCCCTGGTCTAATATAAGAAAAGAAATAGTGAGGTGACAAGAAACAGACTCAGACTAAAGCAGTAAAGGGTTAAAAGAAATCTACAGCTCATGAGCATGGAGTTGAGAGCATATTAGAACATTTCTGTCACGCACTCATCCTACCTATACTTGGACTCATCCTGTGTCAGGAAACAATGGCAGAGAACTGGTACAGACTAAGAAAAATCTCAGGAGTTAGTATATATATAACAAACTCAACTCTGAGCTTAATTTTCTCTTCTAAATGTCACAAAACAAACAACAGCTTGCACTGGATGCCATTTTCAGGCTGCTTTCAGACATTCATTTGGTTTGTAACTGTTAAGTTACAGAAATGAAGGAGACTAGAAGAGGAGGATGCTCTGACAAGGTTGTTAGAAAAGGCTGACCTTTCTGGATTTTATAACCATAAATATCTTAAGAACAGAAAGCTTAAAGTTTCTGGCTGTTATGTTGGGAAATGCACATACAGAGAAACCTGCCAGTGTAATAACTGACAGTACTGGTTAATGCTTTTCAAGGTAGCAAAGAAGTCATACTCTACACATCTGGTAAGAAGTTTTTCTCAAATATAATCTAAACAGCAGCAAGTATTTATCAACAGTTTAGTCTAATTAAAGCAAAGGAAAGAAAATAAGGAACAGAAAACTGCCAGTTCCCTAAGGTCAACACAGCATTTTAGGTAAACAAAGCGAAGGTTCAACTATAATTAAATAAACTAGTTATATGATAATCCACTAAAGTTGTCAGGGATTTTCCTCATTAAACACACATTCCTTACATAAGCTATACTCTAAAATATCTAAAAATTAAAAAAATTATTATACTTAAATTTTCATGCTTCAAATTTCAAGGACTCAAGGAATTTTATGTGCATGTGCATGTAATTTATTTTTCCCATATCTATAGAATAGGTTCTGTAACAAAATTTGTTTCTAAATATAAATCAGTCTATGCAAGTGTAAGTGGTTTATCATACTAACTGAGAGGTCATCTTCAGACAGCTCTCAAATATTAAAATTTCTTCACTGTACTAAGGTAAAATCTATCTCTCCTAAGATCTGTCCTTTGGAAATGTCAAAAACAAGGATCTCCTCTATCTTCTCAACTTTTGTTTCTTTTTCTTCAAAGCAGATATTTTTCTATCAATTAAGTGTTTTAAGGAGATGAACCAGCACGTTAAAGTTTTAGTTTTCCATTTTCATTCTTCATATGTCCATGTACATTACCATTTAAAGATCAAATTCTGCCTAAAAACTGAGAGTCTGCCAAGAAAGATGACCTAGAGGTTTGGCCAATACTGAATCTTCTAAGATGAATCTACACTATAACTTAAATACCTGTTTCAAAGTGTGGGGATAAGACTGTGTACAACAGTCAGGAAAGATGGGAAGAATACCCACTGAAGCAGTAGCTGAATAGGGAAAAGAAATACAGAGTTAAATTTTCAAAGGAAAAAAAATAGAAAAAGATCTGTTCAGTAATTCAACAGAGACCTCTGAGAGAAATATGTGCCAGAATGTAACAAATATGAGCCTAATATAACAAAAGAGATGGGAAAACTGATGTTTGGAATGGTAAAAAAAAAAAAAAAAAAAAAAAAAAAAAAAAAAAAAAAAAAAAAAAAAAAAAATTAGAATGAATCAGAAAAAAACCCTTTCCTATCTTAAGAGCTTTTGATTTGGAGCCTCCACATGCCCTTGATGCCTCCTGCTCTGTCGACATAAATGTAGTTCTGTCCTCTCATCTGGTATCCATCTCTTAGATCTTTTAAGCTGCAGTTATACTCTCTAATAAAGGACGCAGCGGAAGTACCTACTCTTTTGATTTCTAAGTGGTAAAATCTTTAAAAATTTAAGAATACCAATCATGTCCTAGACTGCCATATCAAGATTCTAGTGCAGAGCAGCAATTTTTATTTTTAAAGTGCAATGCCCTTCATTCCTCAGATGAAAATAGGTTTTTTCCTTTCCTTTTTTTTTTAATGTTTATTTTTGAGAGAGAAGGAAAGAGAGAGCAGGAGAGGAGCAGAGAGAGAGGGGGACAAAGTTTCTAAAGTGGGCTCTGTGCTGACAGTAGAGAGTCTAATACAGGGCTTGAACTCAGAAACTGCAAGATCACAAGGTGAGACGAATTTGGACACTTAACTGACTGAGCCTCCTAGGCACCCCAGTTTTTTCCTTTTCTTCTTCACTATCACTTTGCTCTCAAACCCTCATAGGGTACTACAAAACTATAGTGTTCCCAGCTCATACGAAGAAATAAGAAAATCCTACGGGAGGGCTTTCTTGCTTGAGGCTAAAACAAACAGAAAACACCTGCATGATTTTTTAATTCTCACCTCTAAAGTAGTTTATGTGGCTGTGAAGATGCTGGCATCTCCCATTCTCCTGTTACTAACATCTAATTCTAATCCCCAAACAATTCTGAAATGTGTTGGGTATATTTTCTAATGGGAGTATTTCTTGAAATACTCCTTAAAAATATGACATTATAAGCATCTAAAGGCTTTGTCAATTTTGGAAACCAGAGACATGTGAAAGATTCTAAGAAACTTGCCAGAATTTATTCTTCATAACAAATAATCACCCCCCAAAGAACCACTCAAAAAAGTATGTGTGAATTCTTTTCTAACTATAATAAATCCATTGTAAGCCCAAGGAAAAGACCTTTTGTTAACTAGTGGTTGTAGACTATACTACCATCAGAAGAGCAATACTGTTCCCCTGATTGTTAAGGAATACTAAAGGAATTTCCCTAGAAGTAATCTACATATCATGAAATACAAAGAAAACATTTTAATAACTTGGAAAGTCTATCAAGAGAAAAATCAAAGAGGGACCCCTGGATGATTCAGTTGGTTAAGCATCCAAGTCCTGATTT